GTCTCTCAAACGAGATGAGCCGATAATCCGTGGGTCGGTTTAATGTATGTGGGATGATTGACGTCACGATGCCCGTTGGCCGAAGTAACAATGTCCTGTCATTAAAACGCGTCAGCAAACTCGGTTATTGTCCCCTGACTAACGTGTTTCAGCCAAACTATTTCATGATGAGCTTTTCGTATTCATTTCTCCAAACTAGAGAAAACAAAGTCGGGAAAACAGCAAAGTTTTATGTATGGGAACCACTGTCATCATTTTGTTTTACTTTGTTTTTATAGAGGTAATAGAAATGTTAATGCTTAGAAATTTTTAAACTATCTATATATTACGGTTTACGAGATACAAACCGCTGAAAGACGGACTAACTGACAAAAGAGGCTTAAGCTCGAAGTTAAATAAATAAGCAGATAATTTGTGGCAGTAATAACAATGAAGTACCCAGATGGCACTTATTGTCCTTTGAAATCGTTAGGTTGGTTGAGCCATCTACTAACATTTGCTCTTTATTAATTAACTAAAGTTAAACCCGGTATAAACTATACTGATGACAGTATAGTAACAAACTCATGTTTGTTAAATATACCTAGAACAGAGACAACATAATGGTTAAACAAACGTCTCTAAGTTAACGTTTTGTAGACGCTTCTGTAGCTTCGAGAAATGAAAAACTTATTGCAACATCTGAATACAAAGTTGCTGCAAATCTATACATATAATAATATAGTAGGGGAGTTAAAACTGTACGTTGAATATTTTTTTAGAAGATACTTGGGGTGTGATCTATAATCGATAACGAAGCCAAAAATATAGTTTTTAGATTTTTTGTCTTTTTGTCTGTATCTATGTCCGGGATAAACTCAAAAAGTACTGCATGGATTTACTTCAAATTTGGCACGAATATTATTAAGAAGTCGGGTCAACATATTGCCTACATATTATCACATTATCACCTACGGGGAACGAGCAGTGAACCTTTATTTCTAACTAACTCCACGCGTGCGAAGTCGCGGGCGGCCGCTAGTACTCTATAAAAACAATCTAATCGAAATTAGCTAAAATTACCGACTATCATTAGAATGCCCAACTGTGATGAACTTTGGAGATATTATCATTCAAGTTTTGATTTACAGCCTCGAAAGAAGGTTTTAGCACAACCTCACACTATGCATACGCGCCATTGACGTCATATTGGGTGACGAACTGGCTCTCAACTTACTATAAGTCAACATTCTGGTTTTCGAACTTTGGAGGCTGTTGGTCTCTGGTTAGTTTAATAATCTGAGTTATTGGTGTCGGTGGTGCTATATTGGATTTGTGATCAAACTCCAGCATAGGTATGTGTGTTTGTAATTTTAACTACGGCACAACGACAGATATTGAACTAAGCATAATTACAATCATTATTAGATGAAATATCAAGCAAATGATCAACAAAAGGAGCTGAAATACTTATGTGTATTTAAGGTTTTTTTACAAACCTCTTAAAATCTACCAGTTACTATAAAATGCAACCGGCCACATGATCAAGACATGTATCTTGTTTGATTTTAGCTACTAAAAAATACTTATAATTTTAGTTCAGAATTGCATATAATTAAATGTTATTTACAACTTAAAATTCGTCCATCTAAAGAATATTGTGATTTGCTGAATTGCAAAATAGAAGAAAACCCAAGGAAACTATATAAACTACAACAACCTATCTATGCTTGTAACTATATTTTCCGCAGTAATACAAGCTATGAAAGAATAGGATATTTTAAAAACAATTCATTCTAATTAGATGAGTATCATAAAGAAACGGTATTTTATCCTTTATTCCTAATTAAGCTTTTAGACACGGATAAACGTTAAGATTTTATAGAATCTCTTCGAAATGATCATCATCAATTAACTTCAAATAATCTCTGAAACACTATATCGCCTTTCATGACGTCAATGTGCACGCTTTAACGGGCTACAATTTCAGAACTGCTGATGTCTGTTGTATTTATTATTGGCCAATAAATAACGACTACTCCCACGCCCTTAGGCCAGACCTCGTGAAATAGATAACACAATATACCGTGTAAAATATCCCTCCCGATTTAATTAAGATCCACCGTCTATACAATGCGTAAAATAAAATTATTTATTATTGGTAACACCTCTGTGAATACATTAAATTATATCACAATTGAAGTGTTTTTTCCAATGAAACGGGGTATTAAATTTTCATGTTTCAATCCCGTACAAAAGAAGCATGTTTTCAGCAAATATATTGAGTTTAAATATTCATTGGTTCTCTTGTTCTCTTCACAACAACGCCTCGTTCTAAAACATTCATAAAACATGACCTACAATTTTCGTTTATGCGTATCCGATCCCGTGTTCTTTTTTATAAATAAGTTACCGACTGACCGAACCTAATTAAGGGGTTTAGGGTAAACAAAGATATGTACCGGTATCCGTCTTCGTTCCAGAAATAACCGAACCGAGGTCGGCGTCCTAAAAAATAGGTTAAAAACGATAAATTGATCTATGGGTAAATCGTAACTGATAATGTTAATGCCATAAAGATGTCACCACATCACTACAAAAGCATTTAAATTTGAGAACAAAATATTGTTTATCTACCCATGCCCATACTTTAAATCTTCTATAAAAGATTCTGAAACAGTTATAGTCTAAGATCTGAAATAGAAACGACCTTCACCCATCTGTTTAATGGATGAAAAGTATTTTATATCAAATTTTCGTTTCTATCGTTTCTGCTGTGCGGATCCTCTACTCTTAGCTTATTGCCCACATTAAAACAACCACTGCCCTAATAACCATAATATCATCCAAACGGATGCTATTATGTTACTAAATTTCATAATAACAACTAGGTACTTATATGAATTTCAAAAAAATATATTGTCACGCTTGTTTGACTGCCACAACGCCGAAGCTATTTATAAATTTTAAGGTTATGGTTCTAGAACCTTTTATAGAAGATTCATATCATGGGTGTAGGTAAAGTCTTGTATGCAACTGTTTATTATTAGGTATTAAAGCACTCACGTCACTCGGCTTCGTTCCGTGTGATAAACCTACATTAATCAACAGTTGCATAAAATTAACAAACTATTTTAAGCTATCGGCGATCGGCGCACATGATTAAAATCAAACTTAATAGGATGGGCGAAAAGTTTCTTAGCATTTTATATGAAAATTCAAAACATTTTTTAATGAAGTTTATTTACATTTAACTAAAGAATGTAGGTACCAATTTTGTTCGTAACCTTTTTGCCATCTTGTTGGTAGGAACATGATCCCATTGCTATAGAATTTTTTGGGCTTTTGATCAGAAAACCGCGACAAGTGGTTTTGGCAGTCCTCTCGTGTTGTTGTTAACCTGACACAGCTAAAAAATTCTGAAGAGACCGAAACATGTGGAAATCTGAAGGTGCAAGGTCAAGATAATACGATGGATGCATTATAACCTCCCAGTCAAACGCTTAAATGAGTGGATAAAGATATGTGAGGTCTAGCGTTATCATGATGAAAAACCAAACCCCTTCTGTTGATAAATTTCGGCAGCTTTCTCTCAACTTCTTGCTTTAATCTTATCTGTTGTTCGCAGTAGAGTTCATAGTCGATGTTCCTGCCTGGCGGTAACAGCTCATAATGAATATGCCCTTCCAATCCTAATATACTCACAGCATTACCTTGTTGCGAGTTAATCCGGGTTTCACCAGAGTCTGTGAAGCCTGACCGGCCTTTAACCACGACCTTTTTAGCACGTTCTTGTCGTACGAAATCCATTTTTCACCGCCAGTTATCAGCTTCTTCCAAAATGGTTCGGCTTCATTAAGTTGTAATAAAGAATCACAAATGAGTACACGGTTCATTAGGTTTCTTTCAGTAAACTCGTGAGGCTCCCAAATATCGAGCCTTTTTGTGTACCCAGTTTTTTTCAAATCCTCCAAAACTATTTTATGGTCAATTCCCAGTTCTTCAGCTACGTCATAACTTCTGATATTCCGATCTTGTTCTAATTTTTCAAAAAGGGCATCTATTTAATTCGTAACAGGGCGACCTACCGTGCTATTCTGTAAAATTTTCAAGAATTTTCTGAAAATTTTCATTATAGCACTGCAGAATGTGCATCTTTGACATCAAAATTTACGGATTCAAAATGCTTAAATCAAATTTCTGCTACCCTCACAGACACTGTGGTCCACAACCATACAACAATTTTTTTCTCAGCTTGAGTTGCATTTTTACCTTTTTGTAGTAAAATTTTAAAATGTATATCGAATTTCTTTATTAGTTTCGCTCATCTTAACAGTAAGAAAAACAAATGAAAATCACATTTTTTTCTAATTTGAATTTACCTTCTTTAAAAAATTTTTTTTTTAATGTTTCCAAAATCAGCCAGTTAGAAATGGTATAGCCAAAGAGATTTTATTACAAGTTCATACATGTATACTTTAATGTGAAAAAAATTTTTCCTCAACCTATTATAAAACTCCTCTTATGCAACTTGCATCAAGAGGGAAAAAACTGGTTAAGTGACAGTCCTAATCACATATTATGTTTCTCATACAAATTTCCACCCCCTTTTACACTCCCTTAAAGGGTGAATTCTAGGACAAAAACTATTCTATGTCCTTTCCAGGGACTCAAACCATCGCTATACCACATCCAATTTTATTTCAGTAGTTTAAGCGTGAAGAGGTAACAGACAGACAGATAGACAAACAGACAGACACATTTTCGCATTAAGAATATTCGTATGGATTACACGGAATTGTAGACTAAAAGTGCCGAATTTAGTACCTACTATCTTTTAAGTAGTTTTAAAATGCAGTGATTGTTAAGATTAAGTAAAATCTCGTTTGTTGTTTGGACACTCCGTTTATATTAAATGTCCCATTTTGGTTGCATTTTTGGGAGTGTTTTTAAATAACTAATAATAACTAACTTACAATCTGTGCTATGAAATATTAATAAAATATTATTTTTTATTGCAGAATGCCGGCGCTCCGGCTGCTGGGGCGCAAATGGCTGGCCGCCTCTGATGACCTCGTATTTCCGAGCATATTCGAGCTACTCTTTAGATTCGTCTGGTATTTATTAAAATTTTTAATACATATTTTTTGTACGTCTGGCGATGTTTCTCCTTATTATGTTAAAAAGGTTGTAAACAGGCATATGATAAGTAAGTATGGTAAGCGGCCACCATAGTCTATAGACGATTGCGATACCAAAAATACCACTCGCGCCGTTACTTTACCCGAAACTATTCAATCTTAGAAGTAAAATGTTTGTTGCAATTTTTTATAGTACAGCTTTCTTTTTTGCACTTTTGTAACTCTGTACTAATTTTGATGAATTTTGGCATGGAGGTAAAGAAGACTTTGGGGAGAGTCATCGGCTAATTTTTATCCCGAAAATGTCGCGGAGCAGTTCTAAAAAAGGAAATAAAATTTGGTAAAGAATATTTATTATTCTACGCACACGAAAAGAATAGATAATACACAATTGTTGATCGAAGAGATACTATGATAACATCAATAACATAAATCTAAACCACGTACCAAATGTATCCATTAGAGCTATTTATAGTTTATTTTATTGACAGAGATTCAATAATAATAGAACTGTAGGTTATGTTTTAATGATTTAGTTTATTACATGCTTGTAACTGCAACTCAAATTACTCATAGTTAAACGTCAAAAAGGTTATTTTTATTACGGTAATTATTAACCGGATGGTTATGTGATTTTATGATATGACACAAGATAACTTAAAATTTCCTGATTATCTAGTTTAACAAGAAGCTGCGAGGAATGATTTTTTTTTCTAGAATAAATTACAATGAATTTATTATGTTATAATATAACATTCCTTTAGAGGTTACGAATTTTTCGTTCAAATCAAGGCATTTTAACGAGCTATCGGTCATGTTAAACTATAAATAAGTTTCATTGAAATAACAGTGTGATAGGAAACAAGCAAACCTAGCTAAGTATTAGATAGAAAAAATGAAGGTATTAGGTAATGTATATTTTACTAACATTTGAGTTTTTGTCAGTTTCATAATACACCGAACATAGTAACTAAGCAAATTTCTTTGTCAACTTCAAAACACCTCGGTGATTAAACCGCTTTTGCGCGAATCGTTGATAATAGTGAGTTGTTGGAAAAAAGGTACGAGTATAACCGACTCAACGTCTGAAGAGTGAAACAATGCATGGTGCTATGATGCTAGCATAAGGCAGGTACACCATTGCCAACGATAAACGAGACACTTTTTGAAGTGAAACTTTTTTAGGCACGTTTGACTTGGGGGGTAAACTAGCGAATGTGTGACGCAGGGCTGCCTTCGATTAAAAATCCGATTCAGCGCTAAAACGATATAAAAAGCGCTAGATTTCAAGAAAAACGCGCTTTAAAAAAGCGCTAGATTACGCGCTTTAAAAAGCGCTAGATTACGCGCTAATTATTTTTCAGGTTTTTATTAAATAAAAAACAGACAAAATTCAACCAAAACGTCAGAATAAATATATTTAATCTTAATTCAAAAATAATCTTTTTTAGTTTAAGTATGGGCCTTTATCTTTTAGGGCCAGCTTAATTATGGCCATTCATGTATTTTTTGTCTTTAAATATTTTTCATATATATCCCAATCCTAAACTGTCGCAGAATGTATAAACACATGATTTATTTTTAACTTCCAGCAAAATTTAAACATGAATGAATGAAAACAAAACCATGAACTAATGGCAGCAATATTACTACTTTTCCATCGTGTTGTGTTGTGACACATCACACAGTTATATCACGGTAATAATATATATGTACTCTATCTTCATACAAACGGTCGGAAAGCGAATCATACCTACGCCACTCGAGTTCGGGGGAATCTCGGCGGGCACCCAGTCGCGAATGCGCCGCAGCGACAACCGAACGGTGTGAATTGTTTTTTATGCAGTTAGCCGTGCTTAAACGTGCGATTTGTATTGTAAATATTTGATTGAATTAAGTAGATACCTACATAATTGAATATGGCAAAGAACAAACGACGATATTGTGCTGTTTTTGGTTGCTTGAACTCTTTAATAAAGCACCCAGAGATATCATTTTTTAAATTACCTGAAATATTGGAAAGGTAAGACTACAGAATATTTTTTTATATACCTATCTACTAGTACGTAATTTGTCTTTAATATTTAGTGGCAAAATATCTGGAATAATAAATAAATAAGTGGATAGGGTGAAAAAAGAGACAAACGAGTAATCTACCTACACTCATGTTAAAAACAAAACTACAGAGTAGGTAGGTAGTTTCCTAGACTAGGCATACATTATTGAATTAAATGAAAATGTCATTATTAAATAATTTACGAGAGTAATAAATGGTAGGTATTGTAGTGATCGGATATTTTTGGTGTATACTAGCAGCTTAGGTAATTTGGAAGAGACGGATTGTTGACAGGAATTGATAGGTGGAAAATAATAAAATAGGGAGATTTGTGCGGAATTTAAAAATCATTATTTTGTTTATTGATAATAATAATGTAATTTCTTGAAAATAAAAATGTTTCAATGACAATAATTAGTTTGCATGAAACGATCCCTACAGTACTTACCTAGTAAGATTCAATGACCTACAATGTAGGTAATTTCCTTTTAACCCGACTGCACCATGACTTACAAATGAATATAACTTGTATGTTTAAAATAATATTCTTTTATTAAATTATGTAAGAATAAAAATCAGCAGTCGGGTTTTTACAAGCTTAATTGACATGCAATATAGGTAGGTATGTAACTATGTTTGTTCGGGTGGAATCTTGCAACTCAATTTTGAAGCAGATATCTTCAACCGGTTGAGCTACAATTTTGTATATACACAGTTAGCTGTGTGACGTCATTCTAAATCCAACATGGTTATTTTTAATGCATTCCTACGATATGGGTATATGGGCTTGCGGGGAATCTTTACATATAAAATAAAATATTTACAATCACAAAACTTGAAAGAAACCCAATTATGTAGATGAAATTAAAATACTGTAGGCGGGCGGCCCTACCGCGTGTAACGCAGCGCTTGGCCGTAGGCATTTATTTCAAGGACAGGGCCGAGTCACAATACTGTATAGATAATATTGCCGTGGTTATATCGGTTTCATACATTAAATAGTACGGTTAGAGTGAGAACGGCGTCGAAACATCGCGACACACAAGTATAGTAGTAGATCGACCGACGCGTCACAACACAAGACGACAGCTTAGTGTAGTTCTGCTATAAAAATATTGTAGAGGGGTTACCCGAGGCTATAAATTATCGGTAATAGAGTGCTACAATGACATAAATGAAAAGGCGCCAGATTATCCGCTAGGCGCTAAAATTTTGAATTAGGCGTAAAATCACCAGAAAAGCGCTAAATCTAGCGCGGAAAGCGCTAAAATAGCAGCACTGGTGTGACGATTTCTGCGTTACGCGCGCACCGGTGACTCATCGGTAAACAATGAACAATACCCGTCACAAAATACATGAATCTAGTGCTTGGTGGGTGATAACGGACCCAGCGCGGATTGGTGGGTGATAACGGACCCAGTACGGATTGGTGGATGATAACGGACTCAGCGCGGATTGGTGGGTGATAACGGACCCAGTGCGGATTGGTAGATGATAACGGACCCAGCACGGATTGGTGGGTGATAACGGACCCAGCACGGATTGGTGGGTGATAACGGACCCAGTGCGGATTGGTGGATGATAACGGACCCAGCGCGGATTGGTGGGTGATAACGGACCCAGTGCGGATTGGTGGATGATATCGGACCCAGTGCGGATTGGTGGGTGATAACGTACCCAGCGTGGACTGGTGGGTGATAATCGACCCAGTGCGGATTGGAGGGTGATAACGGACCCAGCGCGGATTGGTGGTTTTTTTTACTGACTACAAACCTTCAGGTTAAGTTTATGATTTTCAGATCATTGGAGCTAAAGAAGTTTCACTTCAGTCGTGTGGTCATAAGCACACTCACTTTTTTTTTAAAGTGTGTATTCTGTTGATTACCTATGAGCTTTACAGCGTCACCGGGTTCGGGGCCGGCGAGATCCTAGGAGGGACCTTAAGGGGATACCATGTGTGAAGATTATAAAATTCCGTTTTGTTACTAATGTATGTTATTGATACATTATTTACAAAGGGGGTTTACAATTTTCACATTCGAACTTCAACTATTACTACACAAAAGAAAAAAATATCTAAACGTTCAGAATTGAAACGCGCTTGAATTCAGTCTGCACCGCGTGTATTAATGTATAATTCAGGACATGTGTATATAATTTTTAAGCAATGAATTTTTTATTGCCTTGATTAAGTTTATATTGTATTTAGATTAAGATTATTCCCTTAAGCCGGGAAATAGCGAGTGCTTCTGGTAGTTTTCTGTGGCGCTGGTAGTCACCAAAACAAATACGGTGTCAAACAGCAGGAAGAAAGAAAAAAAACCTATTATCTATTTATTTCTTTATCTATCTATCAGGTGGCTAAGCTTAGGTCACACTAACCTAACCTAACCCACTTATCTCAAATCTGTCGTAAATAATATGGTCGGCTATATCCCATTCAACGACTATGCTAAATGACGTTCAGACAAGACGTTGAACGTTACATTAAACAACTTGACGAGTTATCCTTTAGTCATTCAATTAAATGATATCATTCAATGAACGCGCTAGACATTCAACAAATAGCAGATTCAACCAGATGACTGCGATATATACACGTTGGCGCGTCCCTTTACTCAACAAAGTAGGCACACAGCACCAAGCGATGACAAGGCAAGACAAATATGCTATCTATACGTTGTTATAGGCCTCCGCTTGGCCAGCATATATTAGGCCGTAGGCGGCTTCAACGTATTGGTTATTATGACTCTTATTTAGTGATCCGTACCCAAAGGGCGAAATAGTAATATTTTTATTAAGCCTCAGTTATATGTCCGACTGCCAGAACTAAATTAAACAGCAGTAGGAAGTTAAAATTTTCACAGTATGTTAATTTCTATTGCCGTTAAAACAAGAAAATTGAATTTTATTAAAGGTT